GCCAAGGTTACCGTCTTCACCGCTCAGAGTGGGTCTCTCACACGCATCATCGACGGAGGCTCAGGGTACCTGTGTGAGATGGAGCCTGTCGCCCACTTTGGATTAGGTACACTGCTGAAGATGTTGACCAGGAAGATCTCGAGTACACAATTGTAGCAATTCCTGTGAACGAAATACAGTATCCAAGCAAATATGTTGGTTTTATTAGTGTAGGTGCATTGACCACGGTACCGTTAGCGCTGCTGTTTCTACCGATGCTCTCCCGTCGTGCACACAAGTTTCAGCCAAACTGCTTAAACTCGCCAGAATTTAAAAGAGAAAATTGATCAATATTCCTTGTTGCTGAAATTAAAGGCCAAACATTGAGTTTCTTAATGTTGTGCAAGAAGCAGAATGTTGCACACTTGAAAATGAATCAGTGTGGTGTTGCGCAGGTTCTTTTATTTTGACAAATGCTGTGGAAACATGAGAGCGACAGTGAGCGCCTCCGCTGACCAGCCGGTGCTGCACTTAATTGCCGTTGGCTCGCTGAGTCAGGAGTGCTGCTCACAGTGCTCTATGTGCCCACTGGTGGCGAAGTGTTGTCACTGCAGTCCAGTGCATCTCAGGAAGATAAGTGCAGCTGAAGAGCACAGCCAAGATAAGAAAAATGGAAGCAAACAAACAAACAGAAAGGGGGTGGGGGGTGTAATTACTTCTGATGTCCATTCTCTCACAAGAACTAAAAGCTTTTTTTGAGCTGCTGTATCCACCCGTCTTGGCTTGAAGTCTGGGATCAGGCTAAAGCAGCTAGCATAACTGTTTCCTTTAACTTTGTGGTTTAATTTCTGGTTAAGTGATGCTCAACTTTTTTTTATTATTATTATTTTAAACACATGTAACTTACAGGAACAGACGAGGCGAAAGTCCTGGAGGTCTCCTGGCCGGACGGCACCACCATGACTCGGGCCCTTGAGGCTGGAGAAAGGAACTCTGTGGTGGAAGTAGCCTACCCCCGAGACGGAGACGCATCTGTGCTCGCCAACGACACGCAGGTACACGGCACCCACGCACGGCACGACTTGTGAAGATGTGTAGCTCTTCTGTAAGTGAATTTAAGAATTTAACCAACACATCTCGGTCTCTTCCACTTTAATTTGTCGTCATTCATAAAACTGCCTTAGTAGAACAGGATGAGAAAAAATCAATTTTGTCTTGATTTTAAAGGTTTTCTTCTTTTTTTTTTTTTTTTTTTTTTTTTTTTTTTTGTTTTGTTTGGGAACGACTTTACTGTCAGGAATGGGCGTTGTGAAGGTGAGTCGAATAAACACAAAAATACTGAAAATATATTTTTAGATATTAATCTGTTTTATTTTTTATTTTACGTTCTACTTTTTTGTTTGTTTCAGCAGGTATTTGAGGAAAAACCATTAAAGGGTTTCTGTGATGTACCAGAGAGAGTGTGGCTTTGAGGTCTTTCCCTGTGGATCTGTGCTTTTGGAGAAGGCCATCTTGTTTTCTTACTCTATGAGTAGTTTTATTGTTTTAATTTCCCTCATTTTCTCTAACTTCTTATCTTTACTTCTTCAAAAAAAAGCTGTTAAATAAAGTGCTATATTTCACTACGTTGGGTCAGATTATCATTTTGTGGAATCCCAGTGTGTCTGTCTTTTTTTTGTTTTTATTTATTTATTTTTTTTTTTTTTGCTTCTTGGAAAGCCTTGAAAAGCTCTTTACATGCCTTAAACCTTCCCACTTTCTGATTACAACTTCAAACTCCGAAGTAAATCAACACAACAGATAACTTAATGGTTAAGTAGAAGCAAAATAGAAAATATTTTTCAAAATTTTTAATAAAAAAAAAATCTGGAAAGTGCGGCAGGGCTTTAAATACCTTTAGTTTAGCGTTCAGTATGCTTTGGTAACAGCTGGAAACAAAAGCTTAAACATTTAGTATGTTAGCTTTTTAGCTGCAAGAGAAGAAAACAAGGTCAGTGCGAATGCGGTTGATGTTTTGCTTAGAAAATTGAGTTCCTTTAGTCCACTCTGTCCACTTTTCAGACTTTTGTCTCCATTCCATATTGGTGTGTCACCCTTTCATTGTTTTTGTTGTTCTCCTCTGCTGTCTCTCTCCATCCACGCAGCGCTGGCATCTTTTCACTATGGCCTCCGCTCTTCAGTGGCCTCCTCTGAAGCGTCCCGTTGTGACACATTTTCACTCGTGTGTGTCACGGTGCTGTTTGCGCTGGCAGATCTGAGGTGAGAGTTGTCTACAGACATCTGACAGCATAGTTTTCATCAAGCTCCACACGTCGGGGACCAAAGAGCGACTGAAAAGACTGAAAAAGGCTCCTAGTCTTTGACATCCTGCTGCCCGGGTGTTACCGTTTTGTTTCGGCTGAGATGACTGCATGCGGAAACTGTGACCTGTAACGAGCGGTGGGAGACATAAACGCACACAGCGAACTTCGCATCAACAGTTTGTCACAAGTTTAAAGTATCAAAGCATGTATTGAGAGTAAATCAGATCAAACAGATTAAAGGCACAATATAGCTAACTAATAATACTTTCAGTTCTTTACATTTGTCACTGATCTACTCATTATGAAAGTGTTTTTTCACCTGATTAACGCAAGACAGATTAGATAAAGAGGAAAAAACAACAGTATTGGTTAATAATGGGTGATGTATTTCTTATAGCTCATAAAATGTGCCTGTAAAGCTAAAGTAGATCAAGTTGTTTTTGCACATACTGATGGACAGAGTCAAAGATGACGAGGGGAAAACACTGCTGGGTGAGCTGTTTTAGTGAAAACATGTAACAGAAGAGACCATGTTGTGCTCAGATTTACTTTGAATTGGAAACTTATTTTTTTCTGGCTGGTGAATAATAAGATTATGAGATTTACCTCAAGATTGTGGAATCACTGGCATCGTCGTCAATTTGTGACTCGAACATCATGTGCTGCTTTTTTTTGTTTGTTTTTTTTAGAACCTTTTATCTTATTTATCTTTGTTTTGTCTCCGTTTTTACTAAGGACCTGTCTTGTGTCTGGAATAAAGGTTGCCTGAATAACATAAGACTGATTTTCTGACCTTACAGCAGATTAGTAACAGCAACAACATGATCTTGGCCATTAATACTGATGCTGATTAATATTTTAAATATGCATGTTCATTTAGATCCACATGAGGTCGCTGCAGCACCCTTCACATTTCTCTTTCCCATTCCATTGGTTAAATATGATTGGCTTTGTTTGCCTTCTTATTAACTGTAACATTTAATTCAGACTTTTTTTGACATTGAATCTATAACACTATGATTTTTTTTTAATCCCATGCTAAATTCAAAAGCAAATATTTCACTGGCAAAAATGCTATTTTTCAAGATAATGAAGGGCAAGTTTGTGTTTTAAATATGGAAGATATTGGCTATTACTTCATGTATTCATCTTTTACCGATTAAACTTTTTGCTTTTATTTTAACCGAATAGTGAAAAAGGGAATTTAAACATCCAGTGACTTTTACTTAGAAGACACTTGGTTACACCTGTGTATCAAATTCCATCAAGAACATCAAGTATTTTTGAAAAAACTGAAAAGATAAACTCAAATCTACAGATAGGACAAAATTTCGAGGGCATTCAATCTTAATTACTTGTATTTTTACTCGCAGTTAACATTTTTTTTTAAAGACAGCTCTGGATAATGTCTTTAAATCACGCAGATATAAAACTTATCAAGAGCTGCTTAGATTAATTGACTTCTTATCTATTGAATTATGATTTGACAAATTAAAATCAATTAAAATACAGACGAATAACAAGATCAACAACAAAAGCTGTGATGAAACAGTTTATTTGACACCTTTTGGTTTGACCTTTATGCCACATGTAGTAAACAAGCAGTATGAAAACTTGAACTTTCTGAAAACATCATGAAAATAAAAGCGACATTCACCTTTATGAGCCTCTTTTTTTCTTTTCTTTTCTTTTTTTTGGCAGTTACGGTTCTTTGGAAGTTTGAGTCAAGGAAGGGCAGGTGCATTTTTAAAATGACAAAGTAAGATTTAGGAAGACGTTTCTTCGTTCGTTCTCTCCTTACATCCAGACATAACTCACAGTGAGCCCTTGCATAATCTAAACCTAGGAAGAGTCTGCCTCTCGCGCTGAAACAGAACAGGGTAGTTCTCATATGTTTGCAGGCGTCTCCGTGTCCAGCGAAGGAAATCCAGGCGTAAGAGTGAAAAGCACAGAAGATATGCTACATTATATACTAGAGTGGGTTGACATTCATCTGCTTTCAGGCAGTGTGGAAAACATCAGAGGTAAAACAGGAAGAAATGCTCGACCCTGGTCAACTGAGCTTTTGGCAAGTGAACTTTAGCGTGGCGTCACACTGAATACAGCCGTCTTCAGGTTGAATAACAGAAAACCTGACGTTAAAAAAACCCTTCCTCGTGTGAAGAGTTGATTTGAATGAGCTCAGAAAAGCCTAATCGGTGAGGGATCTGGGCTTTGTTGTGTACCTACTGGATGTTAGTTGAGGTATAAAGGTTTAATGAAGCGTATGGTTTTACTTGGCTTGGCACCTCTTTCTTTATTTCTTTCTTTCTTTCTTTCTTTCTTTCTTTCTTTCTTTCTTTCTTTCTGTTTTGTTTTGTTTTCAGGGCAGAAAGAAAAGATGGAGAAATTGTAGCTGTATATGTAGACAACAGATCCCATTCGTAGATCGTAAAGGATGGTTCTTAAAGAAACAGGGAGGTAAATGAACGGTCCCATTGAGCAAACGTGGTCACATTTCATCTAATGTTAAAGGTACAGTATCATCTCTGAAAACCAATAGGGATCCCACCTCCCCTCCCCAAGTTGATTCCAATGCTACAACAGATCTGGCTTTTGCACAAGGAATTGTTCTTAACTGGTTCATTAAAAGCAATTAAGAATAAATTTGATGTTCTTTAGCCAGCGAACTGCATTGGTGTCATGTCAAGTGGTGCAAAAAAAAAAAAAAAACATATGTACCTTGTCGGGAGACTTACTTTATCTTGATTTTTTACTGTTACATTGAGAGGGTGAGTCCTGTCTGAGGTGTATCGGTACGTGTTTGCATCTTTGAGACGGCTGAAGTGCGTGTTTTGACTACTGTGGAACGACTGTGCGATGACAGGTCAAGGTCACAAACATTTTCGTGGAGGCTGGCGAGTGCTCGGTATGAATGTAAAAGAACGGGATGTGAACGAAGGCTGTTGGAACGTGAGTGCTGTTATTGTCCTAAGTTTTCCTGCAGGGACAGCTCTGCGCCCAGTCATCGAGCGGTGCTGCCAGACACCGAGCTGCTGCCGGAGCTGGAGCCGCTGGAACCTCGGTCTTCGTAGATGGATATCTCAATCTGGAGGACGTAGTTAGGGACCGAAAAAATGTGGCGTAGCTTGAGATTTGTTGCTAGGACGGTCATCAGTGGTACAACAAAAGCTCTTGTGGATACATCCCTGTGTTTTAACACAGTTAAATTTCTTCAAAGGCTTTCATACAATTTCCCACTGGATGCTAATTGGACATCTTACATAATTTTGTAAACAAACAATTCTTGGACTGTTTGTTTTTGTAGGTTCTCCCTACATAAGGGAGTTCCACAAGGTTCAGTTCTTGGCACATTACTTTTGCTATAAATAAATGACCAAAACAGAGTATTTCAACCTAAGGTTTTTACTTCCATGCAGACAGTGGCTTCTCAAGGGTTTTGAGAATCTCCAACATGCTTCTGACAAACTAAACAAACATTTCTATCACCTACAAGCAGAAATGCAGAAGAAAAAAAAGAAACAAATCGCATCTTTACAGGGCGACCTTAACCATATCCTTCATAGCAAGGACAAGCAGTTCAGTTGACTTTAAATGCTGAATAGTGTACTTCATACAACCAAACCAATTGTGGTTTTCTTACTCATGAGTGCCCACTCTATACTAACTGGAAATCCATGCATACTTGCAAGCAAGGATACAACACGCATTCCCCTTTCGATGGGATCAGTGATGAGCAGGCCTCTGGGAGCGTAGATCTTCTCGTTCTGCTCTTGAATGTACTTTGCTATCTTCTTCAGCACCTGAGAAACAGATTGTACGAGAAAAGGTAAGAACCCGTTTGCCGTTTATGTCTGACTAATCTAAACCTCTAGAATGCATCGACCTAAAAATGGGTAAATCTGACCTTCTCGTAGCGAGTCTCCATGCAGAGGAAGATGAGATAAGCCGTGGCACACGCCAGACAGCCCTCCAGGTAAGACTGGCCTCCGATCTTTTCTGCTTCTGCATAGAAGTTGTTCAGCGTCTTCACAGTCTCCTCAAACAGAGTCAGTTCAATCTGCAAACACATTTTGATCCGCAGTTATTTAAAGAAAGGTGAGAAACATTGGAAAATGTGCGAGAGAGATATGCAGCCATTTGCACCTTCAATGCTCATATGTCATCAGACTAAGGAAATCCAGACACTTCAGCACACATCATACATCTACATCTAGTATCAGTGCATTACAACTTATATCCACATCCCAGTACTAGGCAATTCTGCATTATTTCCTAACGCATCCCTTGAGTGGAGATTTTGGGTAAACACATGTCGTATCAGTCACTGTGTAAGAAAGGAAAGGAAGTTCTTATTTATCTTGCTGAATGCAAATTGGAGCTAACATTTCTTCTACTTTTGGGTCAGCACTGAACTGGTGTGTCAAACTGAGACTTCAGTGCCCGCTGTCATTTTTCAGACACTAGAAAGTTTTTCACCTCCTGGGTTCTCAGGAATCTCGTGGCATCTGTTGATAGCTTCGTCTTTCTGGGCAGACTGTTCCACTGTTCCTTTAACTTTAAGCTTTAAGTGATTCCAGGTTTAATTCTAGGGAGATTTCGTAACCTTTGTCGCCTCTTTGTATCCCATTCCGTTGCTTCTGCAGTGCAACTGTCTCTAAACTCTTTGGGCAATTCTCTTGACTTATTTCTAACAGGCAACACAATGCTACAGCCCAGGTTTTTTTGTTTTTTTGTTTTATCTTCAGCACTCTGGATGCCCTTAATGAAGTTGTTGCAACATGTGTGCTCTAACACAGAAGTCTCTTCAAGCGGTTGAAGAAGCTTGAAGAACCAGAAAACAACAACAACATTTAAACCATTCTTGTGTAAGTTGATTATTGCAAGTGTGAGAACTAGTTTGAATTTTGCCAGTAACCCTCATTTGAAATGGGGATTGAATAATTTTAGGTATAGACTTACTGTGAAAAAACAAAAAAAGGCAGAGAGGTTAGAGTCCTTGTCAAACGGCGTTTTGACTAAAGTCCAAGAGGTTGGAGTCCCAACTAAAGTTCTACAGCTTTTTATTTCTCTTTCTCACCGTTTACATTTTAATTATGTTTTTTAAATCTCTTTCTCACATGCTGTTTTTATTTTAATTATGTAAAGCACTTTGAAATGCCTTGCAGCTGAAATGTGCTATACAAATAAAATTTGATTGATTGATTGATTGATTGATTGATTGATTGATTGATTGATTGATTGATTGATTGATGCTTTAGGCCTTTTTTCTTCCAAAAGCCCCATTAACCTTGTTGTAATACATGAAATTAACTGCAAAACATCAAATTTTAAATAAAAAAAACTATATTGATAAATGAAAATGAGTAACTGCAGAATCTGGACAGAAAACATAGCTAGTATAACATTTCTTAACGTGACTTTTTTTTTTCTTCATCTGCATAAATATACTCAAATTAAAAGTAGATTTTCTGAAAATAATAATCATTTGTGGACTTTTCGTACTTTTTTTGTTTGTTTGTTTGTTTTCCAGGATTGTCCACAATTAGTGTCTCTTCACATGTTCCTGGATCCCAATGACAGCAGAAAACCCGCTCCTTACCCTGCTCTCCAGCTCAGATGGGAACTTGGTCTGAAACTTGCATGTGGTCCCTTCGCTGTAGTCCCTCTGGATGAACACCTTGTTGGCGAGAGATGCGCTGTGCCTCAACTCCTGCAGGTTATGGAACTGAGTGGGACAGAAAATAAGACAGTGAAGCGGCGTGTGTCCTTAGCGAGTGCCTGGAGAGATCTGT